AACACCACACCAGCCATCACTAAACATATGCCATTCAGTGCTTATGAATGTGTGTCTTGCTCACTGTTTCTATCAGATAGCAATAATTGCCCATGATATACATGAGCACATAAACACAGAAGATTACACAAGTCATTGTTCTTGTCTGCTGGTGCCCAAATAAAGTCTGTTTTGCATTTGGACATTCTGAACTTTCAGCTGTGTCTTAACTAAGCAAAATAAATAGTTTTGTCCCTACCTTTTAAAGTCATTACAGCTAAGTTCACAAAACTTGAATGTTTTTACAAGTGCCTTCAAATAAATTCTTTATTACATTTACCTCAAATTATTGGTAACTTGACATTGGAACTACTTGTAAACCTTCACTTTAAAAATTATTCATTTTTAATTATACTGAACTATTTTTAGTCTTTGTGTCAAGGCCAGTCTGTGTTCAAATGGATAAGCATCTGCTTATAAGGTTTAAGAATAGAAGAGAGCTTTTTAATATCATAACTTCTTTCATTTCCTCTCTAAGGGTGTTCATTCCACATCCTGAAAGAGCAACTATGCTTTTTTTCTATATTTGATTGTAGGAACAGGATTTTTGGACATCTTGTTCTTCATTGCAAGATTTTTTTTTTTTTAGTAATCTAAGTCCTTAAAAGGATATTGTGTTGGATTTAAAAGTGAGACAGTCTTCAGGAATGAGTAAATGGATAGGGGGAAATCAGGCACTGTGCATTTAAAGGAATAAACAACTTGCTTATTTAAAGCTATTATAATTTCAAACTGCTCTATAAGCTTTTCATGTGTGTCATGGTCTGAACCATTAGAGTTTGAGCCATTTGTCAATTCTGTGTCCTTGGTAGTGTGAATCACTGCCTACAAAAGACCACTCCTCCCTTATGGTTCGAATCCACTGGTGGGTCCACAGGATATAATGGATAGTCTCCTCCTGTTAACATTTACAGCTGAAAACCAGGATGATTATGAGTTGGAATCACCTCAGTGCCAGTGAAGTTATTTCCTCATCAAGCAAAAGAGGAATATTTTTAAAAAATAGTCTCATCAGTGTTTGAGCCTGCTCTGAAGTCTCTAGAAATGGAAATATTTCTGGGAAAAAATATCTCTGTTTCTGTACCTTACTCACCGGATCATCTCTTCTTATGCATGTCAGTTACCTAAATAACAGTGGATAGCTTGCTGAAAATTCTTTCAATGTTGATGTCACTTCATGACAATATTTGTTTTCAAAACATTTATCTAATTCTCTCTTAATTGTGGTGCAGGTGAAGAATATTGAGTTCGGCTTTAGGCAAATGGATGGTGAAGCTTCCTTTTATTTACTGTGAGAAACGTTGCCAGAAGGGGCCAATACTTGGAAAAGGACATCAAGCTTGGAAGATGGAAAGTCATGAAGGAAAATAAGACCTGAAATATAGTGGTGACTGCAGCTGTGGGCTTGAGCACACTGAGGATAGTGCCAGATCAGGCAAAGTTGTACTGGGCACTCTGTGAGTCAGAGTCAACTTGATGGCACCTAGCATCAATAACAACACTTCTTAATGTGAATTTTAACAGTTTTCTCTGTTGACAAATATTCATCATTAAGAATCTGTTACAGCTTTAGGTGGAAGGTTTTTTCGCCATTTAAATATATAACCTTGTTTAGAGTAGTAATTTTATTTTAAGGCTTCATTTGTGTTCTAAGTTAAGTTACTAGGTTACTTTCCATCAGGGGGGCTCTGGTGGCTTAGTTGAACAAAATTACGGTATTTAGTAGCTTAGTATTGTTAGTGGAGTGAAGGCCTACCAGCCAAATTAACTTCTATTCAACGATTCATACACATTTAACTCTTGAACATTAATTTCTGTACCTACAATGGCATCACTTTTCCCATTTCTTCCCTGTTATTCTGATTGTCCTTAATCTGTCTATACCTCTCTGTATCTTCCGTTTCTCTGTGATGTTATATTGGTTAATTCTTTTATTAGAAAGTCATTATTCCCAGTTTGTTTATTGAATTATCTCTGTTGGTATTCTGTCAATTTTGGGAGCCTTGATTTTCTCCAATGTCTTCAGTGAAGCTTGAACTTCCCTCCCTCCTTCAGTAACATAGGTCTTTCTTCTTTGAAAATAATACTTTATTGAATTTTTTGAGGAAGTTGCCTCAGCAAGTTAGAGTTCCGTGTTTTCCACAGAAGCTGTTCATGGCATCAGTTAAATTTATCACAGTGTGTCTGCTTTTACTTTAAATGTATGCTCTTTGTTCCTTTTCTCGTACACCTGCAATGAGATGGATTGACATAGTGACTACAGCGAAGAGCTCACGTGTCATAGATGATGAGGATAGTACAAATAGGATGGGGTTGAGGTGTGTTGTTCATAGGTTCACTATGAGTTGTACTCAACTTGACAGCACCTAACAACAACAGGTTCCCTGCCTCCTTACCATCTCATCTTTACATTTGAAAAACTGTTGTACTGATCTGATAGGTAATGTCTTTATTTTATGCACCACGCTGCTATTTCTCTAGAAAGTAGTCTTAAGAAAAGCTTCATTGTATGTTTAAAGAATGTTTTAAGATTTTCTTGGATTGCTTTTAATTTTAATTTTGAGTTCTTTATCTTTTTTCCCCTCATTTTATCCAGAACTAGCTATTGTGGTCTGGATCAAAATGCTCAGTGATATTGTCTGAGCATCATCCATTTCCTGTGGTCACAAGGCAGATGAGGTTATCATACTGTTGATTCTTGATCATAAGCTACCTCCTGAAAAGGATGAACATGGATTATTTCTTTTGATGCAGTGGCTCATAGATTCCTTGCAGCTTCCTGTGCAGCTTCCTGCTTTGTTCAGTGTTTTGTCCACATAATTTTCCAGTATTGCATATAGAGGCAGCTCAGCACTGTAATGGTAAAGAATTGTGCTGCCAATTTAAATCCACAAGCTACTTCATGGCAAAGACAGGCACTGTCCTCTTGTGCAAATAAACTGCTTCTGAAAACCCTCTGGAGGGTCAACTATGAGTTGATTCCATCTCAGTAGTACATAACAACAGCATTCCATTCTGAGGCTTGAATTTTTCCTTCAGTACTTTCAACTTCGGACATGCTGAACATGTTCTTCCCCTTGTATTTCAAACTCCATGTCTTTGCACATTTTATTATAATACTATTAAGTGTAACTTGAATAGTAAAATAATTGAGACATTTCAGCAAACAAATAAAACACTGAAGAGTGCTCAGTTATCTGTGTTAATAAATTTTGAAGATAGAGCTCCGATCAACCAACTGCATAAGACCTACATTTGTACTTATTTGAAAGATGGGTGATCCAGCACAGTGTAGATATTAGCACGCAGTATCATTAAGAGTACACAGAAGTATAATGATTGGCGATCATTCAGAACATACATTTATATTATTATAAATATAGTTATGTTATTCCATCCACAGGGAACTGCTCAGAATTTCAAGCCATATTCAGAAGGCAATATGGAACAGGGTATATAATTGCTACTAATAGATTATGTTCTTGGCTGAAAGCAGAGAATACCAGAAAGATGTTTTACCTGTACTTTATACACTGTGCAAAGACATTTGGCTGTGTGGATAACAAAAATTTATGGATAATATTATGAAGAATAAGAATTCCAGAGCACTTAATTGAACTAATGTAGAACCTATACATAGACCGAGAGACAGTCATTCAGACAGAGCAAAGGAGTGTTGCATGGTTTAAAATCAGGAAAGATATGCTTCAGAATTTTATTCTTTCACCATACTCTTAACAATCATTTATTGTTGTTATTGTTGTTGTATAACATCAAGTCAGAGCTGACCCTCAGGTGGTTTTTCTGAAGCAGTTAATTGCATGGGAGGAGATTACCCATCCTTCTACAGAATAGCTGGTGGACCCGAGCTACATGCCTTCAGGATAGTAGTAGCACAGCTTCTTGCCACTAGGCCATCAGAACTCCCTTTCAATCAGTACACTGAGCAAATAATCTGAAAAGCTGAACTACATCAAGAAGAACGTAGCTTCAGAATTAGAGGAAGACTTATTTAGCAACCTTTGAAAAGTAGATGGTACACCTTGCTTGTTGAAAGTGAAGAGGACTTAAAACATTTATTGATGAATATCAAAGACTTTATCCTACAAGTATGGATTACACTTCAATATAAAGAAAACAAAAGCAACATCAAGATAAACAGAGACAATGTGGAATTTGTCAAGAATTTAGACAAATGTAGATCCTGAATTGAATCCACAGTGTCGTTGAAAGCAATAGTCATGATATCAAGCAACCTATTAGACGGGACATATCTGCTACCACAAAACCTCTTAAGTGCTAGAAAGCAATGATGTCACTTTGAAGACTAAAGTGGCCCTGAGCCAAGTCATTGTATTTTCACTCGCCTCATTACAAAAGCTCATGCAGAAGCTAAACAATAAGGAAGACCAAAGAAACAGCAGTGCATTTGAATTATAGTGTTGGCAAAAAGTCTTGAATCTATGTTGGGTTGTCAAAAGACTATAAATGTGGTATGGAAGAAGTACAGCCAGAATGTTCTTTAGAAGTCAGAATAATGAGATTACATCTGACATATGTTGGATGTGGTATCAGGAGTAACCACTGCCTGGAGAAGTACATAATTTTTAATAAAGAAGAGGGTGAGGAAAGAGGAATACCATGAATAAGATAGATGCATTGCATCATGCCCGCGACAATTCATCCACATGTAGTAATGATTGTGAGACTAACACAAGTCCTGGCAGCATTTTATCCTATTGGACTTAGAGTTGCTGTCAACTGGAACATTCTCAGTGTTACCTAACAACAATAGATGCCCAAGAAAATAATAATAATAATTGGCATTGAGTCTAACAGAAATATAAATTCTATTTTAGAACTTTTTGTTCTTTTTATGTAGTTTTACTGCAGTCTGCTCAGTGGTATTAGCATTTCCTGAACTAATGCTTTTTTACACATTTCTTTTTCTTTTCCGCCAGATAATGGATTCATACCTGATTCTCTTCTAGAAGATGTGATGAAAGCACTGGACCTTGTTTCAGATCCTGAATAGTAAGCAAATAGAGATTATTATTTGTCCAATTCAAAGAGATTCTGTTATGTTTAATTCATAGTACACATTATTGTCTTTGTCTAAACCTGCATACCAGCAGACGGTTAGGAAGAAATCTAATTACTCAGCATTATAGCAGAGATTTAACATGATGAGCTCACTTTCTCACACTGCACATACTGTTCAATTTCAAAAGGGTGCTAATAATATAAATAAGTCTTTTGTCTCTAAACTTAGAATACTTCCCCCCCTAGTAAACCTTTTCCCTTTTATTCATTTTATCTGTTTCTTTAGTTCAGATTAAGTAGTGGAAGTTCTATATAATGTTAGTATTTTACTTAGCTATTCAGCAGATTTCTCATTTTAAGTCTTAAGTAAAGGTGATCAGAAACATTGAACATTTACAAATGATAAAATTAAGTACTCTGAAACCTTTGTTAGTGACCCTCTATATTAGAATACTGATTTTCAGTATTTTCTAACATTAATAACTTGTCATTGTCTTCATTCTCATTGTTGTTTTGCACAGTGTTTCATCTACAGTTTGTCTCATAACTTTAGCATCTTTATTATCCATCAGAAAATAGTTCTCCTTATGAGGTTACAACTATTGATCAAATACGTATATAAAAATAATATCATCTGGGATAATCTTTTTCTGTATTATTTAACTTCTTTGAGTTTTTTGTCTGAAAATGAACGAACTTTAGTGTACAAAGCATTTAACAAAAAGGTTCAAAAAAGGGAGCAAACTGTGTTAGCTTGATCCTATTTTGGTTTTAAATTTATTCAAATATGTTTTATTTGAAAGTATGAGAGATATATACACACACATTTAAAAACCAATCACATCTGAATTAATTTTTCTTTGTCTTACTGAAGCGGACTGTGATTTTATCCATATTCAGTAAGTGTGTCTCCAACTTTAAGAGGAGAAATCAAAGAAAAGTTGACCTAATATACTAAATCATTTAATAATAATTGTCTTCTAAATAAATTTCCAGGTAGAGGTTATCTTATTTACACTGCGCCAGTGTGTAAAGAACTCTTAAGTAATTTTTGCTGTTGATGATTCTGCTTGTTTTTTAAATGAAAAGGGAGAAGGAAAAACAGTTCTATTTTTTCCAAACCAAATTTTAAGTAGTTATATAGCACCTACTTAATTTTCCTTACTTAATCAAAATATTTAACATACCTTGAATTATAAAATTAACGGTTGGTTAAATCAGATTGGTTCTTCTACAAGCAGCTAAAAGATTAAATCACTTGTTTTCTCCATAGTTTTGCCTCTTCTTATTTATAAAATATAAGAGAACCCGTGAACTGACAGGGCTATATTAACTATTACGTATATTCACTAGCTTCCATATAGTATGACTGTGACCTAACTCAGGCCAAGTAGAATGTCATGTCCTTTGCATATTGCATAATGATTTTATTTAACAAGGCATTTTTAATTTGGTAGATAAAATAGAGATAAAAGTTTACAAAATTACAGTTTTTAATTGTAGAACTCTTCAGACCGCAGTCTATTATTCTTTGCGTTCTTTCAGCTTATCCCTCATGATGAACACCTTTCACCAGCCATGGCTAATACCAAAATAGAAAGTGTTATGCAGAGCACTATTCTCTTTAAACTGCTACTGGATGGCTATATCATTTACTCTAATTTACTATACTTTTGCTCTTAAGGGAAATTTCACTTCTTTAAAGTTCAGATTATATTATTTTAGAATTTTAAGCCATGATATCATTTGAGTCTTGAAAGTAAATTGTTTAAGAGTTGTTTTGTTTTGTTTTATCTGATACACTACTGTCTTTGATATTTCTTCTTGGGCTTAAAAGAAACATTATTTTAAATTAAATACCTCACTTGACAAATTTGATAAATTTAGGCATTTGATAAATTCAGGCATACCTATCAAACAAAGAGAATTTGCTTTTGAGAGGGTAAAAGCCTGAGTTCCTAAGCCTAGGTTTTAAAATTACCTAATAAGGAACAACATTTCAAAGTCATCATCATAATTTAAATTTTAAATAGTAACAGATTACTGTGGTTTTAAAAATAACCAAGTTTTGGCAAATTAGATGTCATTCCTATGTATTTGTCAGTAAGGTTCTAAAAAGAACAGCTCTTAGGATTTTGGCAAGCAAATGTGTTATGGTACCAGTAATTTAATCATGAAGGAAAAATGGTTTCTTTTTTTCCCTTTGGTATCCACTATTTTTCTTTTTCTTTTTTTTTTCCTTCCCCATAGTATAAACCTCATGAAGAATAAATTAGATCCAGAAGGATTAGGAATCATATTATTGGGTCCATTTCTTCAAGAGTTTTTTCCTGATCAGGTAACATAGTTGAGGAATTACATTCATTATGTTATCCTATTGGGTTGATCAACTGTGATTGTTTCATCACTTTTTCTACTACTCCCTTAAAATGTTAGTGTACAGACATGAGACGATGAAAGCACTATTATTATGTAAGAACCTTCTAATAGATGATAGAAGAGTATGTGTATTACAATACGGTAATTCAGAATTTTGATTAGGGATGGCAGGAGTAGAGGATGAAAGGCTAGAAATGGGTGTATCCACCAATGTATAGAAGTAGTAGATATTATTTTTTCTAAAAAGGTAGAATTCAGAAGTATGTTGACTAAAAATCGAAAGATCGTCTTCACCAACTCCCATCCTTATTTTCCTTTGTCTCAGATAACTATTATTAATAGATTATTATGTGTATTTGTCAGAATTTTATAAATACTACAAAGTTCTAAGTACAAGGAAGGCTCCTATTAGTGAACCTAAGTTCTAGGAGTATTTTACTGAGTTGGAATTAAACCTTTTGACCAAAGCTGTGCTGTTTGATATTGAGACTTTTTTCCATTGGTCTTTGAATAGGATATCTGTTAATGGGAATCTGTGCTAATCTCAATACTTTTGAGTTGCATGTTAAGCAAGTCTTATCTTTTTTTATCGAATTGAAAACTTTTAGCACTAAGCCAAATTATTTAGCTAGGTAGAGCATTTTCATTTCATCAATATGGTTTAATTCATTGTTTTAATAGAAATAACACAATTTCTACTATTTCCCCTCTATTTTAGTTACGGCCAAATAAAAAAGTTATTAGAAATGGCAGAAGGAGTATTTCAACATATATTTAGTATCTTTGATCAAATTTTCTTTAACAGAGTCAATATTATCAACATTTAATAATAGTAATTAGAAAAAGAAAGACAATCATATTTTCTAAGCCTGCATTTAGCTATGTGGGTATTCTAAGAGAAAATAAAGATGTAAAATTTTAAAAATAGCTGAATTTATCACAGTGTAGGCAGTTAGACTTGAAATTTTGTTAAGTGCTTCAAGGAAAAGATAGATTCATTTTACTATCTATCATTATTAAAATGGTCTCTGACAGTGATGTCTAACATGTTTATACTTCAACTAAGTTAAATTAGTAGAGATTTCTGCAAGTTCATTTTTTGAACTCATGTTTTAGGTATCTTGATAAATGTTTAATAAATAATAGCACTTGAAACTTTTTAATTGTTTTTTTCCATTATAAATA